TTACGTCCTTATTTAGTCCGCATCTCCGCTAGCTCCCTTAACAATATATGATCACACCCATCCCCATTTACGTCCGTCTTACGATTGCCCAACATGGTGTTGGTACATAGTCTGCAGAGGAGTGCCGTATTTTCCACAAGGCTTGCTGTTCGATCACGATTTCAGAGAACAACTCTTCCACTATTAGTATCACGATTAGCTTCCACGATGCCACCAAAGGTAAGTTTTCCACAGGAGGACGTCACACACGTGTAATAGAAAAACTGACAACCCAATTCGGCGACGGTAGCTCAATGACCCGTCCCTGTTCAAGACGGACGTCTGCTATGTGAACGGTGAATGGGTAAAAGCCGCCTCAGGCAAGAACTTCGAGGTGCACGACCCCGCGACCGGAAACCTCATCGGAACTTGTCCCGAGTTCGACGCCAAGGACACCGAGAAAGCGATCGCAGCCGCCGCCGATGCATTCAAGACCTTTCGCACGAAGACCGGTCGCGAGCGGTCTAAGCTGTTACGGAAGTGGTACGATCTGGTGATGGAGAACTCCGAAGATCTGGCGAGATTGATTACGCTGGAAAATGGCAAACCTTTCGCAGATGCACAGGGTGAGGTCAACTACGCCGCCCAGTTCTTCGAGTGGTTCAGCGAAGAAGCTCCGCGGGCGTACGGCGATACGATTCCAGCGACCGTGCCTGGTAACAGAGTGGTAACCATCAAGCAGCCCGTGGGTGTCTGCGGACTGATCACGCCATGGAACTTTCCCGCTGCAATGATCACTCGCAAGATCGGACCTGCGCTCGCCGCGGGCTGCACAACGGTATGCAAGGCCCCGGGTGAAACCCCATTCACATCGTTGGCATTGGCGGAGCTAGCGCACCGAGCCGGCATGCCTAAGGGGGTGGTAAACGTTGTGACCACTTTGAACAACACTCCCGAGGTTGGTGAGACCCTGACGACGCATCCTACCGTCCAAAAGGTTTCTTTCACGGGTTCCACAGTAGTAGGTAAGCTTTTGATGAAGCAGGCGTCATCAACACTCAAGGTCTTGTCTATGGAACTAGGAGGCAATGCGCCATTCATTGTATTTGATGATGCCGATGTCGATGCAGCAGTTGCCGGCGCCATCGCATCTAAATTCCGTTCATCAGGGCAGACATGCGTCTGCGCCAATCGTATCTACGTTCAGAAGGGTATTTACGACGAGTTTGCAAGGAAGTTTGCCGAGAAGGTTAAGGGCTTCAAGGTAGGCTACGGCTTCGACGAGGGCATTACTCACGGACCATTGATTCATGACCGCGCCGTCTCCAAGGTCGACGCCCACGTAAGGGATGCTGAGAAGAAGGGCGGAAAGGTTGTCGTGGGCGGCCAGAAGATGCCAGACTTGGGATCCAACTTCTATCAACCTACCGTAATCACTGGAATGACGAAAGACATGGCTATCGCGTCCGAAGAGACGTTTGGTCCTGTTGCTGGCCTCTTCAGCTTCGACACTGAGCAGGAAGTTGTAGATCTAGCAAATGCTGCCGAGGTCGGACTGGCCGGCTACTTCTTCTCACGAGATCTGGAGAGGATCACCCGGGTAGCCGAAGCTTTGGAGGTTGGTATGGTGGGTGTCAATACTGGGCTCATATCTGATGCAGCCGCACCGTTTGGAGGTGTCAAGCAGTCTGGATTCGGCAGAGAGGGATCTAAATACGGCATCGAGGAATATCAACACATCAAGATGATCACGTACGGCGGCATGAACAAGCCTTTGCAGAGCTAAGGAAACATGGAGAGAACAAATAACATGTGACACTAGAACGATACCTTAACGTTTGTATATAGCAACTAGGCAATTGAGTCTAAGAAACTTTACACGTGCAAAAGAAAATGGAAATCAGAGTTGCCATCTGTCTAACAATATCAAGGTAATGCAGTTATATATATGTGTAGGTGAATGAGACGAGATGCCCTCTAGTGTGGTGCTTGTTTTAGTGGATTGGTGGGATAGAGGAGACTCTCTATATGTAATAATCGGTTTAGTGCATAACCCGCCATATCACTTATCCAAGCTCCTTAATCTTCGAAATTTCGACCAAGAGCTCAATAGCATCCGACAACACAAAACCACATCAATCAGGCTCAATGATACGGCATCCACTACACTCGGCTGTCGGCCGCACAAGGGCAGATATCAGTAGAGTCACAGAAGGCATCGCTGCCACTCTCCGAGAGTTCTCCACCGCACAGCGACTGGCCGCACTAGCACCAGGACGAAACAACGATGGTGATGGCGATAGCTCGCGACCGACAGGGCGCCAACGCGCCGCGGCTGCCTTCTCCGACCTCATGGAGATGAACGACGCGAAGTCCTCGCGGCCATCCCACCCGAACAAAACCATGTTTCGAAAGATCGATCTGCGGTCCGAGTCGGTGCCCATCACAGTCGCCAGCGGCTCGTCAGGCGGCCCCAACATCATCCGCGGGGGCTTCCGAGGCCGCGGAGGCTTCAGCCGAGGCGGGGCGGCGAATCGTGGTAATTTTCTCGGCGGCTCCGGCGCGGGGATCGGCGGGATAGACAACGCGATAACTTCGGCACCACAGTTCTCGCGCGGCCGCGGACAGTTCGACGGTGAGGGAGGGCGGGGACGAGGACGGGGTCGTGGCCGTGGCCGTGGACGTGGACGGGGAGATGGAGAGGCCCGTAGCGACCAGGAGGATGGACAAGGAGACGGCGGCGGAAGAAACGGCGGCCGTAAGGTCGACGTCGCCGAGGACCCGGCTGTGAAGGCGATGCGCGAAGCCAAGGAGGTCGGCGCGACGAGCACTTTCAACCCGTCCCTCTCGATGGACGACCTCGCGGGCTGGGGCCCCGCCGTGGCCACGACCGGCTCGAGCTTCGCGAAGTCCGAGACCGCGCTGCGCCAGGCGCGGATCCTGGGCGGCGGCCAGCCGTTCCACCCCCTCAACACGCGGCGGATACAGGACCTCAAAGAGATGTACAGCGAGGGTAACGGGGTGTTCTTCCCGTCCGAGGAGGCGAAGAGGTGGTCGGCGGACGCGCTGAAGGTGGAGGAGTTCCCGCCCGTGCCCCAGGAGACCAAGGACGCGATCCTGCAGGACGCGCTGCTGGGCACGTACCAGGGCCCGCAGTACACCGAGCCGACGGACACGCTGGGCGTGGTGCGGAACTACGTCAAGAGGGATGGCACGTGGAATGCCGATGCTGGGCGACGCATCGAGGAGAAGGTTAGGAGTCTGCTACCTGGTGGCAAGACGGGGCCTACGCAAGTTGCTGGTGCGGCGAGAGCGAAGGCTTAGATGGAGGTGTGTGGAATTACTTGCAGAATGTAAACATATAAAGACGTGGGACAGACACGGCGGATGAACATAGAGATAAGATGTCTCGGTTCTAGCTCTAGATCTTGCTGTACCATACCGACCGCTTGTTAAAAGCAAACCTTATATTGTACATCTATATTTTAACATGGTATTAGATTTGCACAAGTGCGTGTCTAGCGCGAAGATAATGTCCTCTAGACGCAATATGATACAATGTATACCGTACAAGTCTTTGCAGATATCTCTTCCACTTTGAGACTCTAGCCAGAGAGCATAACGAAATAGCTAGTCTATTTCGACTCAGCATGCTTAATAGCGTCCTTCTCGGCCGCATCGATCTCAGTAACAGCAGCCTTAATAATCTTATCGAGCTCCTTATCGACAGTCCTCTTGAGATCCGGGCCAAGCGAGCCGTCCTTCTTCCAGGTGGCGTGCAGCTTGTCGCGCTTCTGGCGGACGGCGCGCACGCGCTCGCGCCACTCGTGCGCGGAGGCCTTGACCCGGCGGACGAGGTCCTCGCGCTTCTCGGGCTCGATCTTAAGGACGAGCTCGAGCTCGTTGTCCGGGTCGCGCTGCGGCTGCTGGTTGAAGTCGGCGCTGGCCTGCACGGCGCTCATGATGGGCTTGACGTACTCGGCGTCGTGGACGAGGAGCGAGACGGCGCGGCCGCCGCGCGGCACCACCTGCGCGAGCTCGCGCAGCGGGTACGCGAGCCCGGCCTTCTTGTCGACGGCCACGCGCAGGCCGCCGATCGCGTCCGCGTCGAAGCGCCCGGCCGCGTGCAGCTTCTTGAACACAGCCCTGAAGTGCTCGGCGTGCTTGCGCAGGCGCGACTCGACGTCGGCGAAGTCCAGCGGCTCGTCGGGCGACGGCTGGGGGTGTTTCGGCCCGTCGTCTGCGTTTCCACCGCTGTTGCTTTTGCTTTTGTTGCTGCTGCTTTCAGTGGGTTCCCCGCTGCGGTTTGGCTTCCCGTCCTTCCTCTTCGCCTTCACGTCTGCCTTGGGTTCCCGTGACGACTTGTGGACGATGGGGGTTCCGTGTAGGGCCCGCACTCCATGCTGGAGACTCAATTGTGAGCTGGGGGGAGGGCAGATGAGAAATGGTCGTAGGCAGCGCTGGCAGATCGAGCGGGTGCTATAGGGAGCTGGTGCTTCACCTGCTGCGGCGACTAGGCTTGCACGTGCGGCATTGTAGCGACTGCTATAGGCATTAGCAAGGACAATAGGTAGGCCAATTGGATGAACGTACGTCCTACCCGGCTCAGGGCGCGCAGCTATGCGCCGCAAAACGGTGCGGGTTGCTGTATTGCTCATGGTTGTGTTAATACGCGTCGGAGAACTGAGGCTCTTGGGAGCTGCTTGTCCTGCTGGAGATGGAGCTTAATTTTGAGACGTTCGATATCGGCCCCACCTTTTTCAATGACTTCCGGCCCTCGCTAAGTAATGAATGCGATGATGGATACTCAATCTGGACAGACATATAAAAGAGAAAGGGCCTAAAAATTGCAAAATAGACTGACTGTATATAGACTTCATTATCTCACACTATGCCACCGAGTAGTACAAACGCAGTTTCGGGATAGCAACCCTTCCCAAATTGCACAGTAATTAACCTCTCGCACACATCGCAATAAATCAGTGGGGGAACAAATTAAAAAGAAAAGAAAATGAAAACATTGTTTCCGCCCGGGATCGAACCGGGGATCTTCTGTGATCCAATGGGGATTGTAAGACAGACGCCCTAACCGCTAGGCCACGGAAACGCTTGTGTACGCTCAATGTGATCGTAAGCCAATAGCAAATGGTGGCTTGTTTGAGTCTAATAATTGAATGTGTTGATAAGTGGACCAAGATCAATTCTTAGTGAGTGGTCCCAAAAGTTTAGCTAACTTTGCCTGCAAGTATCATCAAAAGCTTCCTTCCCGACCTTCAAGCAGACGAGAAACTTGGTTTAGCACTAAGCCCTATAGCAAGGCAGTATTCGACCCCTGACAGTTATCTTCGAGCAACGCAATTATCTTCGGATAGTGCAACCTATATGGCTTCAACACTGAAAGCAGACGTCGTTTACGTTTGTGAGGAAAATAGCAAGCTCCTGGGAAAGCCACAACACGTCCTTGAGGTGGATTAGACGCCCGTGTAAGATCTTGAGACGGCGTATCCTGACAAGGAGGGGCGAGGCATGTATGACGGTATAGTGAGGATATTGGAATTGGTCGCCAATCATCGGACTCGTCGTAGAATCATCGTATCCTTGCATAGGAGCCCTCGTATTCATTTATAGCACGAAAGAAAATCACACAGCTTCGACTCTTGTAGTTTTCACCACTATCATGTGTCATGGAATATATACCTTTAGTGCCAGCCGAGCATGAACGGGGTCGTTTTTGCGACACCATGTGAGATCGGTCGTAATATGGGTACTATAGCAGTTGATAGTCACGATCTGGTCGCTTCCGTCTTACTTGTACACCTCATGAAAGAAATATGTTACTAGACTTTCCCTTCACTATGGAGATTATAGTATTCTCGTGTCTTGTAACTATTCGCCTAACCTGGAGTTATTCCAACCATGCGCTTGATAGCTGATAATTACTAGTAGAAGCTCTGAGCCTCCATTCCCACACTAATCTCAGCCTGTGAGCTAGTAATTTGATTTCATGTCTCTATCTCCGCATAAAAAGAAACATTCCATTTCATGGTACCTTCCAGGACCCGCATAGAACCATGGTACTGTCACAAGTAGACGCCACTTAATTATGCCATACATCATGAATAAAGCTATGAGCCAGAGTAAGTCAGTCATGGAAATACACTAGGCTGAGTATTAAGCTATTCAAGGTGCATCATAATCTAGCTTCTGTAATTTTATTGTCCGTTCGAATTGTGAAAATCCTAACGCCTAATTATAACAAGACTTCAAGTGCTATGGTCCAGGTGCGAACCTGGCCCTATCGATGTATGAGCCCATGCTTTATAGGTCGAAGAGAATTTCTACTTGATACAGCAATTGAACTTGATGCTTTACTGTCCGTAGACAGAAATATCCGTAGCACAAATATCTCATGTTCGTTGAGCCTAGAAATGGACCATTTGAGGTGGTTGGGACATTTATGTGTGGCCAGCGGCCCCGTAGTATACCTTCTGCTTAATCTTTAGAAATTTTAGTGGCCGGCACATCTGAGGGGAGGTCAATATTTCTGACATCTCTTAGTACCTTTGAATCTAGCTCCTAAGAATAGGGTAACAGGGAAAGGGGGAAACATCGTGGCTAGAGTCGATAGCTCTGTTCCGGCCATTTGTCTATATATGCCAGTATTCTTGTTTCGATGCTGACTAGTTACCTACGATGTATCTGCTCTGTGCCTACGGCCGGGTCATTGCGAGCCTTATGGCTGAATCTCTTCGGGGTTGAAAAATATTCCCACTATTCGGGTTTTGGGGCATTCACTCGTTTTTATTCTGAGTCAAATGCTTGACACTGCTGGAGAGTGCAGCTCATTAATGGAAGTTTATATCACACAGGTGTTTTTTTACTACTACTGCTCGGCGGGGTCATATGCCTGCCTATGCCTGCAACTTCACGACCTTCTTCTCACAACTTTGGATACGCACGCCTTCGGCAGGGACCCAAGATATAAAGCGAAATTATAACAACTACAAGCACATACGACCATAGGATCTGGAGAACGCGGGGTCCCGTCCGCTCCCCCATAGCTACAGTCAGTCTGAAAAAAAAACGAGAAAAATTTATTTTACGGCAAAACTTAACATGTTCAAACCTAAATAACTTCTACCTTATATAAGTAATAA